TGTGTCCATTTATTCTTTTACGTAGAGACTGTCCTGTTTAGCCAATGTACATGGCAGAGGGGCATTGCTGGCACATGATGGCATATATCGTATTAGTAGATATGCAGATGAATGAGCCTCTGATGGTGTGGCTGGTGTGATTGGGTCCTATGATGGCGTCGCTAGAGTAGATATGGGGACAGAGAAGGCAACGGGGTTTGTTACAGGGATTGGTTCCTGGGTTAGTGTTTTTGTTGTGTGGTATGTAGTTGCTGGTGAGTATTTGCTTCAGATTGGGAAGCTGTCTGTCAGCGAGGATTGGTCTGCCTCCCAAGGCCTGTGAGAGTGGGGGATCGTTTACTACAAAAGCAATTTTCCCTCTCTTGCTATTGACACTTCCTCATCAATTATTGGGAGTGGACCACAGCCACCCTGACCTAATTGGCCTTCAACACTGGTTCTCCACTTGTAAGGTAACTCCCTTCTCTTCATATGACAATATATATTTATGCCTGTTTCTGTAATTTTCATTCCATGCATCTGAAGAAGTGGGGGGGGGGTTACCCACGAAAGCTTATGCCCAAATAAATCTGATATTCTTTAAGGTGCCACCGGACTCCTTGTTTTAACACAAAATAAGTTTATTAACTACAAAAGGATAGAGTTTAAGTGATTATAAGTGATAGCAAACAGATCAAAGCAGATTACCTAATAAATAAACAAAACCGCAAACTGAGTTTAACATTACTAGATAGGTAGGATATGAATTAGCACATTTTCACCCTGAGTGATAAACAGGCTGGCAGATTCTTAAGGCACAAGCTGCCTTGGCTTTGCAGCTTGGGTTTCCCAGGTTTTCATACACAGGCTAGAAATTCCTTTAGCCTGGGCCCATCACTTCCCCCTTGTTCAGTCTTTATTCCTCAAGTGTTTCCAGGTGTGTTGTTGTAGGGAGAGTGGGGTACCAACATGATGTCATTTTTCCTCTTTTATATCTTCTTCCTACTTGCTGGAAAGCTCTTTTGATATGACCTGGGTCAAACAGTTCCCGTTGTGTAGTGCCGTCTCTGAGAGGTTTCTATCGTACACAGTTCCTGGGGTAATCCTTGTGCTTGTGTGCATTTCCTCAATATGCCATTAACATTGTTTGGTCTTTTTCCTGTTGTACTTGAAAGGCTGCTTTCAACCTCACAACATGTTTCAGTAACACATACATAGCCAAACTTCATACTTCACATATGACGATAGCACAAACAATCCAACAAGCTATTAATGTCTAGCAGATGAAGACTTTTAGAATGAAAGCTCACAAGGCATACTTTGTACAAAACATATCCTAATTACATGACAGTGGTGAATATTGGGGTGCCAGGGTGTCACAGCGTGGACTTCCAGTAACTTGACAATATCAGAAGCATGGCATATGCAGCAGCACAGCAGAGTACATTTAAAATTTGTTGAGGGACTGGTGGAGATTAAAGTCTCCAGGATTTTATTTGGAGTGCCTGAATATTAGGAAAATCTTTTTAATGATGTGGAAGCAGAGAAAGGAACTGACAGAAGGGAACTGCAATGCATGACGGTTGTTAGCAAGAGTCAGGCTTCGTTAGCAAGAGACAG